CATTCATCAGTTGATAGAAACGTAGGCTATTTCCACTTTTCGGCTATTATGAATCAATCTACTAAGAATAGCAGCATGCCAGTTTTTGTGTGCTCATATGTGTTGATGCATTTGGATATATAGCCTCTAGTGGCCTTGCTGAGTCACATCATAACTCTGTGTTTAAGGAACTGGAAACATTTCCAAAGTACGGCACCATTGATACTCCCACCAGCAATGAATGACAGTTCTTGCTTCTTTGCCAACAATTTTTAAAAAAATGATAATAAAAAAAAGAAACGAAAAACACCACATACTGTAAAATTTACCTCCAACCATTTTTTGCAGTACTGGGAACTGAACCCAGGACACTCTACCTAAGCTATGGCCCAGCCCTTTTAGTTATTAATTTTAAATTTTAAATCTTGAGACAGGGTCTCGCTAAGATGCTGAGTCTGACTTCAGATTTGTGATCCTCCTGCCTCTGCCTTCTGAATCACTGGGATTACTACTACTGCATCCAGATGGATGCTAGGCTCTTATCAGGTATAAGAGTCCAAATATTTCCCCTGGGACTGTGGGTTGTCTTTCATATTGATAGTATCTTTGAATGCCCAAAATTTGAAATTTCAATTAAGTCCACTTTATCTGTTTGTTCTTTGGTTGCTTGTGCTCCTCACCGTTTTGGAGGCTTGGAAGTCCAAACGCCATTGTGCCACTAATCTGATGAATCATCCCATATCATATGCTGAATCATCCCATATCATATGCCGTCACATGGTGGGAGAGCAAGATGTGAGAGAAAGTGTGGAGATCTGACCACAGATCTGACCTCATAGTTAAAAAAATTGTTTCCTAATTCAAGTTTTATAGGTTTTGATCTTACATTTAAAGTCTTTGATCCATATTGAGTGGGTTTTTGTGTATGGTGTGAGGTAGGGGTTCAATTCATTCTCTTGCTGCAAATATCCCATTGTGCCAACACCATTTGTTGAAAATGTTCCCCATTGAATGGTCTCCTCATCATTGTTGAAAGTTAGTTCATCTTACACATATGACTTTATGTCTAGACTCTCAATTCCATTCCATTGATCTAGGTGTCTCTCCTATGCTAGTGTCAAACTCTCTTGCTGACAGTAGATCTGTAGTAAGTTTTGAAATCGGAGAATATGAGACTTGCACCTTTGTTCTTTATCAAAACGGTATTTTAGCTCTTTTGATGTCCTTGCATTTCCATCTGAACTTTARGATCAGTTTGTCCATTTTTCTCTCTGCCTAAGCCTTCCTCTCTCTCTCACTACCCACCTATTAACCCTGTATTTCTTCAGGTTTGGGCTTCAAACTTGAGGAAGAGTTAGGGAGTATGTGTCTTTGGCCAAATTACTTTTCCTCTCTTTATAAGAAGAATGTTCACATCTATTCTTAAGGGTCATCATTGTAAAGATTAAGTTAAATGTAATAATGACTTAAAGTTCCTGGAAGAACTGAATGTGGATTGTTGGTTTAGTCAGCTCACCAGCTTATAAATAGATTGCTATAACAAGAATGACCATCTTTGGGAGGACCCTTGATCTACACTGAACAGGGACCAAGTGCTTTTTTTCCCATGTCACAGAGGAAGATRCTAGCATTAAGGCACAGGGGAATTAATAACCTTCGTCATGAAGAGTTACGCTAAGATCTCAGCCCTGCCAAGTGACTCTCACAACCCTGGTCTGTTGGGCCATAGCTACTAGCTGGTCTTCTCCAGGTATAGGGAGGGGTTTAAGCAGGTGGGTTCTTGGAACCCTTCAGATGTCTCTCACCCACAACCTGGAATGCAGCCTAGCTAGATGTCCCAGTCTGTTTTATGTCGTTATAACAGAATACCAAAGACCCGGTAACTGATAAAGAAATTTCTTGCAGTTCTTGGGGCAGGGAAGTCCAAAGTTGAGAGGCCCACATCCGGAGAGAAACTTCTTGCTGTGTCATTCAATGGCAAAAGGCAGAAGGGCAAGAGAGTATGCACGTGAGAGAGGAAAGAAGGAGACCGTGTTCATCTTTTTGTCAAGAATCCACTTCCGGGCTGGGGTTGTGGCTCAGTGTTAGAGTGCTCGCCTAGCATGCACGAGGCACTAGGTTCAATCCTCAGCACCACTTAAATGTAAAATAAAGATATTGTGTCCACCTAAAACTTAAAAATAAATAAATATATATAAAAAAGAATCCACTTCCATGATAAYGATCTTAAGCCATTAACATGGGCAGAGCCCTGGTGACCTGGCCCTGGTGACCTGTCACAGAAAAGCAGGGAGGTGAAACTCCAGATCTCGGGTTCTTGTTCTTTCCAAGCAGAGGATGACAAAAGAGACAGTGCTGTCCCCAATTTATGACTCTTTGATGTTGACCAGGAGAACTGGGGACCACCTCTCTACTCTTTGCCARTCAGGTGTTCAACTCCTCCTTCGTGTTGGGCGGTGAAGTTTTTGACCTTAGTTAGTCCTGATGGCCCTCCTGTTTAGGGGGACTTTGTCTACCGGTCAATCCCATGTTAAATGTGAGTACTAGGGTCAGTTGCTGGTCAGATGTTACCTTAGTGCACCTGTGTTGCTAAAGGAACCTTCCTTCCCAGACAAATGGAGACACCTTTAGCCCTACTTCCTGGCTTTAGGTCAACATCAGTGGACCCTATCAAGAGTTAGTCCCATTAATCTTGTTCTCTTGACATAGTTCTCAATTAGCTCCTTTGCTGCGGTTTCTTTTCTACAAATGAAGTACCACACTTTGCTTTCCTGTTTACTTTGGAAGTAGTTTAAAGAAGGACCCTAAATTAATCTAAAGAACACTTGTGACCTGGCCTGCATTTCCMTGCTCATTGCTAGCTGTGACCTAACAWGAACCAGTCACCTCGTCTGTCCCCACCTCTCAACGCTGTTGCATCAGAGACGAAGTTTCCAAYGCAGGAAACTTCAAAGCAGGTGGAGATGGGCAAACTTCAAGKCAGGGGCCCCTCACATTCTGCTGCTTCCTCTCGGGGAAGTTTTTGAGGTCTATCTAATGTGGAGAACGGAACTGGACTTCTCCTGCCCCGACTAGGTCCAGACCCGCTTTGTGCCTCCCCTGGACATCTCCCAGTTGGCTTTCCGTCCTCAGACTCCTTCCCACCAGACCTGCCAGGGGTCACTAGACCACAGAGCTGACCTCTATGGTGTGACAGTCAAGGGTGGGGATAAGAGATCAGATGGAAAGACCTAGGCCAAGAGAGGGGCCTTCTGTGCCTCTCTCTCCCCTTCTTCCTCCTCCTCCTCCTCCTCCTCCTCTCCCTCCACCTTTCCTTTCTCTCCTGCTTTCCTAGACCTCCTCCTCCCACTCTTACTTTAGCCACCTCTGGCTGTCAGATCCCATCCCTTCAAGACGAGGAAGGGTGGGGATTCCCATTTTGGAAGCCAGGAGAAGGACCCTTGGATAGCATCTGGTCCCTTTCCTCTTATGATACCCATCTTCCCCCTCGGGTGGTGGGGTTGGTGGCCCCGGCCTTCACTTCCTCCCTAGATACAGCATGAAGACTGTGTATGTTTGTGGAGGCCTTGGAAAATCCCTTGGGGTGTTACTCATCGGGGGTACGGTGCCATCCCAAGCCTCCCACCCCGTACCCTTCCGTTAGCCCACTTTGATTGCGACACTGAGACAGCGAGGGGCAGAGCCCTGCTCACCCCTGTCCACTCTCCTGCCCGTATGGTCATCTCTTCTCTGCTTCCTCCTCCTGCTCTGTCCCTCTTGCAGCACCCACTGAGTCATCAAACCAGACCCACGGAGGACTGTCACCCCCKAATTGTTGAGGTGCAAAGGTCAGGACCGGGTGTCAGAAGGTATCAGGATGAAAAGCCCCAGCACCTGCGAAGGGCTGGACCATKACTTCTCCTGTCACCCTCCCCACTACTGTGCCCCGTGATGATTGTCCCTGCTGGCTGGTGAGGAGAGAGAGGAAAAGAGGGACAGATTCAAAGATAGTGAAATKCGGAGTCGGGCTCTTGGCAGAATTCATTTCGTAAAGAAGGTCAATGAGATCTGGCCCTGGCTGGCCTCCCCGACTTGGGTCTTGCCCCCATCTGGGGACCTGCCCCTGTGGACTTGCTGTGTCTCTGGTCCAGGGGAAATAGTCCCAAAGTTGATTCATCCCATGTCCATTCTGCAAATACAGGTGACCTACTTGGGACTTGGTGGGTGTAGAGATGACACATGGATCTCAAGGTGCCTGGGGGAGGTGCGTGACACTTAACAGGCTCCCCGCAGGGACTGTGTTGCCCGGAAACTCAGGACATAGTGTAGGGACACATTGGACTTACCTTCTGGATCCTTCCAGCCTACATGGGTCAAAAGCTGCCTGGGGAAGGTGTCCATCTTCAGGCCCTTTGGACTTTCCCAGATCCTACAGGYTAAGTGGCTTCTGTAAGTTGTGAAGCCACCAAGACCCCACGTGCGCCACCACGGCAGAGGGATCCATATGGATGCTGGATCTGCCTCCCTCTGCCAGCACCCRGTCCTCTATGCACACAAGGTCACCCTCTCTCTCCCCACGGGAAGCACACCAGGGGCTGACACCCGGCTCAGTTCTAGGAAAACATTTGGTGAATGAATGCACAAATGAATGGAAGGAAGATGAGGATTACCACTCATTGCCAGCTGAGAAYACTGAGGGCCAGAGAGGTGAGTGACTCACCCAGGGTCCCTAGGGAGTGAGCAGCAGAGCCATCCCTTCCCACCTCTGACTGTGCATCCAAAGACTTTGCACTTGGCCCCAGCAGAGCTGTGGCACCCCCCCACCCCCCTACCCCCAACACACACACACCCCAGCTCTTACTCGTTGAGACCCAAATAACCCCTGACTCAGCTGGAAACCACTGGCAGCTGCCTGCTCTTTCTTGACCGCAGAGGGCCCAGGATTTTCGAGGAAGCGTGGYGAGGGCGGGGACTCCGAGCGCCTGGTTCTCCTGAGCCGTCATATAAAGGGCAGATCGAGGGAGGCTGGTGCGCTGCTGGAACCAGCCTTCTCCCCAGGCCTTCGCCTTCCACGCACTGGCTTGGAGCCCTGAGCTGCAACTTCTGCTGCAGGACATGGCAGGTCCCTCGAGCATCATAGCTGGCTTCCTGCTTCTGGCCCTTTGTGTCCAATGCATCATCCCCACAGGTGAGACCTCAAGCCCCCGTCTGGGTCTCTTGGGCAGGTCATGGTTCCTAGGCGCTATTGTTAAAGCGGGGTGGAGGGCTAAGCAGTGGGGGAAACCCCGAGGTGAGGCAGCCCAGGGAGTGGAACACCAGCCGGGTGTTCTGTGCTCCGTATCCCAGGTCCAGAGCCTGCAGCAGGCTGGGAAAGGACACGGCTCTTCTCCGTCTCTTTGCAGGCTCTGTGGTCACCCCCTTTTCTTGCTGCTTCAACTTTACGGCCAAGAAAATTCCCCAGAAACGAGTGGTAAGCTACCAGTTGACCAGYGGGAGCACCTGCATCCAGGCAGGGGTGATGTGAGTACTACGCCAGGAGAGGAGCAGGGAACAAGGCGGCTCCAGGGTCCCCAAGAAGTCAAGTCGGCTGTGCATCCCTGCTCACCTCTCTGAGCCTCAGTTTCCTTGCCCCTAAAACTAGGAGGAAGATGTAGATCCAAAATCTTTGAAAGAGCACCAAACATATCCAAGGCACTGTTGGGGGGTATAGGAGACCATCTTAACTGACTCCCTCAAAAATTCTATGGAAGCCAGGTGCAGTAGTGCGTGCCTGTAATCCCGGAGGCTCGGGAGGCTGAGGCAGGAAGATCACAAGTTCAAAACCAGCCTCAGCAACTTAGCAAGGTGCTAACCAACTTAGCAAGACCTATATATAATATAAAAAGGGCTGGGGATGGGGCTCAGCAGTTAAGCACCCCTGGGTTCAATCTCTGGTACAAAAAAAAAATTCTATGGGGGGGCGTGATCATTCCCACTTTACCAAGTATAACTGAGGCTCACAAAGATGACTTGCTCAAGGTCACCCATGAAGCCAGATATAGATGCTCCTCATAATTTCATAGACACCTCTCACACAAGTTAGCAAACAAGTTTCCCTTAGCAAAGGGCAGCATGCAATGAAATCCGATGTCCATATTTGTTATTAATCTTCCCCAGCTGGTACTCAGTCCCATGGCCTTGGGGTCCCCAGATCAGAGCTGGCTTGGAAGGGGGCAACCCAGGCTCCYACCCCGGCTGTGGCATCCTTACCAACCACTCACTTCCATACAGTGTGGGAACTGGTACCGTCTGCCTTGGAATTCATTTTACTTTGGTTCTGTGGATTGAACCCAGGGCTGCTCTACCACAGAGCTACATCCCCAGATCTTTTTATTTTTTGAGTCAGGGTCTTGCTAAGTTGCCCAGGTTAGCTTCCAAYATGCGATCCTCCTACCTCAGCCTTCCGTGTCTCGGGGACTCCAGGTGTGTGCCACTGTGCCCACTTTGACATCTGTCCTTTATTCTGGGCGTTTCCATTGCATTTTCGACTCCTTGCTGTGGTAGAGGCTGAGTCTCTGAGTCTCTTCCTTCAGAGRCCACATTATCTAGAGGCAGGTCTGGGCCTCCACCATCTGACAGGGAGGACCCCAAATGAGTCCGGCACTGCCCTCCCCCCATTCATTTCCAAGGTCAAGATACAGAGGCACACAGACAGATGTGCCAGGAAGTTGCAGGGGCCATGCAGGGAGCTGGCCCTCCTGCCCTTCCCCGCTCACTTCTTCATAAAGTCAAGGGGGACCAGGGCTCTGCCCGGCCCCAGGTGAGCCCCTGACCTTCCTTCCCACAGCTTCACCACCATGGCGGGCCGGAAGATCTGTGCTGACCCCAATCAGCTGTGGGTCCAGGAGTACAAGAAGAACCTGGACTCCAAGCAGAAGCAGCCTTCTGCAGAGGCCAGGGTCCGGGGTGTCAAGGTCCGCAGGCCSAGACGCCGTGGCAACAGAACTGCCATCTAACGCCACCTGCCCTCCTGCCCTGAGCCTGGGCACAGGCTCCTCGCCAGGCAGCTTGGGGCCTGAGAAGCCAGCAGGAGTTGGGCAGGGGTCCGTTTTCCTGTGCGCTGTCAACAAAGGGTCCATTCTGTGAAAATCCCAAGGGAACAGGCTGCTCTGCTCCCTGGAAGCTGAGCCACGGCTCCAAGTGCCCTGGGCCCCTGGCTTTCTCCAAGCTGGGTGAGAAGTTTCCAGATGGAGGGACGTGGCAGCCCTTTGCCCTTCTGACCCGGAGCTGGCCCTCCTCTGACCTGCAGGCTCCATCAGAGCCCAGGTGCATGAGACCCAAGCCCCTGCAGACACACCTTCCTTGCGTGGAGCCTGCAGGTGGCTTCAGGGGGTCCTCTGGTCTTGTGATGGTCCTGAGGGCTGTCTGTCTGTCTGTCTGTCTGGGGATGGTAACCTGTCAACAGAGACACTCCCCAGCATCTTGAGGGTGCTCCTGGATGGCCCCACCTCCAGCTCTTCCAATAAATAAAAATTCAACAAAAATGGAGGGTCCCTTTACAGATCCACTGCAGAATCCTTGCCCACTTCTAGAAATTTCAGAAACTCATTGGCTCTCCTAACGAAAAGGTGACGGAGGGCCAGGGTGAGGGGCCGACCCGCACTGTGAGATGGCTTTGCAAAGACAGGAATTAAAGGAAACATTCTGCTTGGTGACAGGGCTTGATTCTTGCTGCTTTGGGGACAAAGACCTGCCCTGCCTTTAGTACGGGGGTTTCCCCTATATTTTGATGAAGGGAAAATGGATTGGGAGCTGAGGAGGGGGAGAAAGCCCCCCAGCTTTTTCTCTGTGCATGAGATACAGTGAGAATTGTCAAGTGCATCGACAGAGTCGCTGTTCTCAAATCCATAATCCAAGTAAACTCATTTCTCCTCTGAAGATGGTGGTGTCTCATCTGTTCTCACCTCTCTTGGGAAAGGGTTGGTGGTGAATCATAGAAATGTGCTCCACAGAGCATCCTGGGCCACCTACTCCAGGCTGGGAGGGGAGAAGTACCTGAGCCCAGAGCACCTGGGCATCCAGCTGCGRTCCCTGCCTGCCCTTGGGAGTCCTGGTACAAGGGGTAAGCAGAAAATTCGAGGGCTGGGGGKGTAGTTCAGTGGGTTTCATCAGCAGCATGGCAAGAGTAAATAAAAGGGAAATCCATTACACCGATTAAGCTTAGCAAAGCTTATTTGAGCAAAACAAAACAAAACAAAATGATCCGGAAATCGGGTGACCAGAGCCACTTCTGAGAACTCCAACCAAAATGTGATTTGTGGGCATTTTTAGAAAAAAAAAAACAGAAGTAAGGTATTGGAAACAACTTAATTGGCCACAACTCAGTCAACCAACCAGTCAGTCRGTCGGTTAGAGCTTAACTGGTCTGCTGTGTGCAGCTTAATCAGTTGACTCCTGAGGCTCCAACCAGACAACGCTCCATTACAACTGTACTTGGAGTTGGTCTATTGGGCTCAGGGCAGGTGACCAGTTTAAATCAATGGCTGCCTGCCACRTTGCACTTCATACAGGTTGCATATGCCTCATCTGAAATGCTTCAGACTTCAGAGTTTTTCTGGTTGTAGAATATGTTTACCTCCACTTTACCTGGTTGAACATCCTTAATCCAAAATCCTAAATTTCAGAGCATCTCTGAATTTGGGATCAGGGATGTTCAGCTTATATTAACTTTAGAAAATACCCAAGCACAACTGAATTCAATTAGATTCTTATAACATTTCAATGAAGCTCGCTATGTATTGCAAAGGAGCTATTCCAGGCATTAGTCAGCTATAAAATGATTAATGGAGAGAAATGCACACACATTTCAAAAGCGCATGGGTTTAATGAGCTGTTAAAAAGTTTTTATAAGCTGCTTCACTTTGTAAAAGAAAAACTTTTTCTACACTCACAACATGTCTGACACCCAATGTGGGATGTCCAGGGCATCCACGCTTGGCCACAAATCTGGGTGGTCCTCCGACCTCCTCCTCCAGTTTGGTCCTGGCTCACAGAATTCAGGGAGTCACTTCCCTGGGGCTCACTGGCTTATTCTAAAGGGTACAAATGAATGGCCAGACGAAGAGGGGCCCAGAGCCGCGTCCAGGAGGGCTCTGCCCATAAGAGCTTCTGTCCCTGTGGATTTGGGCTATGCTGCCCTCCCAGGACTTGGGGGGATTCACCAACATGGAAGCTCTCCAGACCCCATAGTTTAGAGACTTTTTTTTCGTCATGCAGGCAAGATGGATTTTCTACCTGATCTTCGCTGCAGGATGGGCTGGGGTGAGGCTGAAAGTTCTAAGCTTCTGATCAAGGCTGGGTCCTTCTGACCAAGCCCCCATCCGGAAGCTATCTGGGAATCCACCAAGAGTCCCCCCATCAGGAAGTGCCAAGGAATTAGAGAGTCCTGCAGAAAACGCTCCCATCACCCCCATCACTGAGGAAACCACAAGGATTTCAGGAGCTCTGGGTCAGAAACTGGAATCAGAGAACAAACAATATATTTCCTTTTATGGGATGTAATAATATGTACCTTAGTCCCTGAACCTCAGCTTTGTTCATCTGGGAAATGGGGATGGATAACCAGACCTCTCACTTTGGTTTTCCCCACAAGCAGACCATGAAGCAGAGATCTGAGTGCAGAGGCTGTATTTGGGAAGTACAGGGAGTAACAGCAGGATGAAAGGAGTACCAGAGGTAGCAGATGAGGGTGCGTTAGCCAGCAGATGGGGGTCAGTCCACTGGGCAGAGGTTTGAGGCCCATCCCTCGGAGTCACACACCCGTCCCCAGCCATCAGTCTTTGCCAGTGGTGAGGGGTGGTTTTTGCAGAAAAGTGGGGGCAGAATAACCCTCCATGGTTTAAAAAAGTCCTAAGGGCCTGTGTCAGTGATACATGTCTGTAATCCTAGCTACTTGGGAGGCTGAGGCAGGAGGATTCTAAGTTTGAGGCCAGCCTCAGCAACTTAATGAGATCCTGTCTCGGAAAAAAAAAAAAAAAAGTAAAGGGCTTTTACTTTACCACTGTAGTTCAGTGGTAAAGCATCTCTGGGCTCAATTCCCAGTACCAGGGAACAAAGGGAAACCCCAAGGTCCAGAGAGGCCCCTACTGGCAACAGGGAATCTGTCAGCACATAAAAGGCTTTTAGCAGCTATTTGGGGTAAGGAAGCCATTAAAGTTACTTGACCTCTCAAGCAAAGCAGAACATGTTGTGATGCAAAACAATGCAAAGGAGGGGACATTTTCATGGGGACAAGGAGCCTCTGGAATCCTCATCTCAGACTGCCATCCACATGGGCACATTTTGAAGGATGGGAGAGAGCTGCAGCATTTGGGAATCAGAAACTGAAAGAAGAGCTGGGCTGTGAGGAGGGGGGGGGGGGGGGAGGGGGGGGGCTCTGGCTGGGCATGTCCAGCCCCCGCTCAGGAGCAGCCAGCTTCACCGTTGCCTTTTCTGTCCCAGCTCAGAACCAACCAGAGGAGCGCATCCATTCGCAGGCCGAGGACATAAGATGCTTCTGTTGATCTGCCCCAGCTTCCCATGCCCACCACCTCCGGGTAGAGCGCTCCGAGCCTCCCTCCAGCCAGCGCAAAGCTTCCCTCTCCACCACCTGCCCGAGAGTCTCTGCCAAGCGCAGATCACGGTGGCCAACCCTGCCCCTGCCAGCTCTGATGGACGGTGTGTCTGCTCATCACCCTGCGGGGAAGTTGTAGAGGCTGGTGTGGCCGCAGCCAGGGGCCACGAGATGATCCRAGCAGGTGATGGAGACTAGGGAAGGGAGGGCTGGCGCCCCCAAGAGTGCCCCATGGCACTACCGGTGGTCACGGTGATCATGGGGCCAATCTCTTTGAAAGATGACCTGGGAGCATCTGTTAACATGCTTATCCCACCTACCCCGCCAAATCAATGTCCCTCTCGCAGGAAGGTACCCTGTGCAGAGACCAACAGGTGTGTGTGACCTCGCACTATCTCTGGTTACAGAAAATTGGCAAAAACCTAATTTTCCATTTGCAGAGGACGTGGTCAAGATATATTTTTATTTATTTACTTTTATGTGGTGCTGGGGATCAAACCCAATGCCTCACACCTACAAGGCAAGCGCTCTACCACTGAGCCACAGCCCCAATCCCCCAAGATTATATATATATATATATTTTTTCCTTTAATTTTTATTTTTTTGCCATGCTGGGGATTGAACCCATGGCCTTGTGCATGTGAGACAAGCCCTCTATCAGCTGAGCTCTGTCCCCAGCTCATAAGATACATTCTTAAGTGAATACAAGCAAGGTTCATAAGAGCATTTGCTGTATGCTATAATTCTAAAAAAAAAAAAAAAAAGATATAAACATGGGATTAGCTACTTGCTGAATGCCATCTGTCAAGATGGCTGCCTATGGCAGGTCAGGACTGGGGGCTGGGATGGAGGAGGGGGACATACACACTTGTCGTTATACTTTTTTGGGTCCTTGAACTTTTATTATAAGCAATTATTATTTTCATGATCAAAAAAAAAAAAGTGTATGGAGACTGTTCCAGAAAAACTTGATCCCAGGAGGTGACGACCAGCACCCAAAATGCCATGAGAATGAAGATTCGGATACATCCAGGGTCACAGAGTACCATTTACTGGGGACTCAGTTGAATTCCTGCAATTTGGGTCAGAAAGAGGGGTTAGAATAGAAAGGATTTCACCCTGGCTAGAAGATGTCTGGTTTACTCCAAGCTAACATCAAGGCAAGGAATCAGGYGCTTCCCTGAGCCAGGGTTGGTTGTAGAGCTCTGCATACCCTCTAATGTTTTGTCCACTTACGGTTTTCTGGGAAACCAGGCTGCAGCAACCAGCTAAGGATCCTCTGGGCAAACATGGTGGTTATGACCCAAGGCGGCTGCTGTTATGAGAGGTGGAATCCGTCTAGGCCCACACCCCTTTCCTTCGGGCTGAACCAGTTAGTGTGTTCCTGTGTCCTTGTAGCTGCCACCAGTGTCTGCATCCAGGCCTGAGGACTTGATCCCCAAGGCTACTTTGCCAYGTTAGAAGCACCAGGGAATGGGGTTGTATAACTACCCCAGCTCCCTCGCCCCTTGGCTGATGCCACTCTGGGGCCTGTGCTTTACACCATCCGCCATGGTCTCCCTATTTCCTAATTGGTTCCTGACATTGAAGGACATACTCTTATTGGTTGCCTTCCTTCCCTACACCTATTACATTACATATATCCTCCAGAACCTTGTCTCAAGGTCCATGTTTGGGAGGGACTCCCACACCCTTAGCCAAACCTGTCAGATGACTCACAAAAAGTGAGTTCAAAGCTCCGGTGTCAGCACACAGCTAGTGAGTGAATCAAAAGATACCATCAGAACCTAAGGGTGAGACAGGAAAGAGACCAAGGCAAAGGCACATTATCCAGAAAAGTTGCCCAGGGGACTGGGCTGCCCAGGCAGGCTCCACGGATTTCCTCTTCTGCCCGGTAGACAAGGGCCTGCAGGTTGGAGGGACCTTGGGCTTCATCAGCCAGTGGGCCCAGCAGAGAAGTGCTGAGCTGGGCTGGCTGGGCCTCGGGCTCTGGAACCCCTGCCCAGGGGCTGTGGCAGCTGCTGAGCTGAGTTCCAGGACCTATTGCTTGTTCCTCCAGTGACAAGGGGCCTCCAAGTGACAGAAGGAACTGAAAGACCAAGGTGAGGCCACCATGAAGCCAAAGTCTTTGAGATTCTCACAGCTTTCTCTCTCGCTCTCCTCCCCTCTCCCTGGATTTCTGTCCCCTCTCCCACCAGTCAGGGACACCTGGGGTCCCTCCAGCTATTGGGAGGACAGTGCTTGCAGTAGACGGCCAGGCGATGGGGGGGCAATGGGGGGGTCCCCTGCCCTGCTTCT